CCTTTACAAACATACTCGGTACCATGGCTTTACAGCTATCTGAATTTGCTTATACCTTTTCTGCTACTTCCGCCACTGAGTTGAATCCATCCCTTTGTGCCGTTCCCATTGATTTCAATGCAGCTGACTATTTACATCTGATTTCTTTGGACTCAACCAGTACTGCAAATTCCCTCACAGTGCTAAAGGCTTAACCTGATTAGATAGATGTAAACGATAGCATAACCATCAATGCTTAGTCTCCTGATCGTTAAATTTTGAAGCCCGTTATGAATTTATTCACTAAAATGAACTAGGAGACAAATATACTGACAAGAAACACTGGGACCATTTTTCAAGTTTTGGACCGACCCGCTACAAAGTGAGGTTAGATAAAACTTTAGGTGATAGAAAGGGGGTTCGCACAAAAGTTACCATTGACGCTGAACCTAAATATATGGAAGAGATATTTTATTCAAATGGAAATCCACCAAAAATTGTGCTTCGCTTCAAGGAGATGCATATCTGTTCAGTTCCAAATACAGAAGTTTTCCTAAATTTGAAATTCTTGGAAGATGGTACGAGTGAATGGTGCAACAGCGTCTGTCTTTAATTATTAAACGCGCCTTTTCGTCTGCTAAGCATTGTAGTAAATGTTCTTCTGGCTTACGAGGCCACCTATAATCTCTTTAACTGTCTCAAATGCTAGTGCCGTGTGACCCGACTTGGCAAATTTGAGAGACAAATCTGGTTTGAGTAGGTGGATCAAGTTTCCACCCGGATGCATCAGCGTATTAATCCATCCACTCCACCACACTCAAGTACAAATTTAACTCCATCAGTGAACGACGGATGGCGAAATCATCGACAGCTCGTCATTAAAATGGGACTTGGCATTGTGTCGATCCGTTAGCTGCGTTCCATATTCTTTACGTCACTACGAATGATGAGTGTTGCAGTTTGTTTAATGCAGTTCTATCGGATGGAAATGAGAACTTCGTGAACAACTGAAATCGACCCTACCGTTGACATTTTCTTGGTAAGTTATTTGCTTTCAGAGTCCCGATTCTTGTTCTGTTTTCATTACCTATGTGATATTGAACTGAAGTTTACACCACTCAGATACATCCGGTGATTCATGCTACTTGTCACTTCTCTGTGCTCTCTAAGTTTCTACTCTCTTTAACAGTCACCCACTGAAGGCAAATCTACATCACTCACTCGCCATAGATACAAAATTTGACCGCTAGAAATTCTCTGATCCCTTTCTTGGTTTATCTGCTAATAAATCCCACTGGCCTATCCCACAGTTATTTTTGTACACTGCCCATTGATGGATGTCTCAGGAGAATTCCTCTATTTATATTAAAGTATTTCATCACCCACCTGTAGTAAAGCTTGTTTATTGAGTCATACATGCGTGGCATCACTTACATATGCCAGACATCCCTGTGCTTTTCTCAGCCGTTCATCATGGGCGTAGGGGCAATATCCGTTTTTCTGTATTCGTCTATTTAGTGGACATGGGGCAATCTGTTAGTAGGCGCAGAGAATTTCGAATCGTGTGCCAACTATTGAAAACAGGCTCAAATAGGCCACGATCAATCACACAATTACTAGCGCCTCTCCACTAGGCTCCTCACACTTGAATTTCTGCCCACAATTAGTTTGACCAGCCGCATTGACCTATTGTTCACCTTCCATATGGTGGTTGCACAGTTAACAAAATCAGCTGTCAGTTGAACTTCAGCCTGACTATAACGTACATTTTCCTACTTCCATTTCTGTGCACACGTAACTCATGCACGTTTATCACGTGTATTTCTATGCATAATCGGTACCCCTCAGAATTTGGATCGCCAGATCACCTATTCGCACTGCCTTCCATTCTCCAGATTCATAATGGGAACATTCTAACAAGCATCTTCATAGACGACAATAAAATCGTTGTCAAAAGTGGAAACTTCCATCAAGTTAAAACTGCTATTTTGGCTGTGGTTTCGGCTGCCTACTACCACTAGGATAAATAATATCAGTGGATGTAGGATAGTTCACATCATCTGGTAAAACCTAGAATATGAAAATACTGCTCAAATGTTCCCGCACGTTTGCACGATTCATCAAACTAAACGCCACTGTACACCAAACACCTCGACAGTTCTGACACTTGTGTCATAAAAAACGAATCAAAACCATCCAGTTGTCAACGACTGCCAAACCTAGAGTGGGAGCGGTTCCTGAAATGTATCAGGTCTAGCTGTGTAACAGCAAAGTGACCAGCAAACATCTCTCACCTTGTGTAAATTAACAGTGAACCGAAGACACCGAACCGAAATTCACGAGTTGCAAGCAGACGAAAATTAGGCACAGAGCTACGTCTCAGCTGCTCAGAAGACTTTCGGAGCTAGTGTTCCGGAACCACTACAGAAGTGCAGTATGTCTCAAAATGGATCCAGTTATTCGAACCATGATTACTACACCAAATGAGGGACGGACTTATGTTTTTCACTACCATTAAAAGCGCAAAGGGCACTAGCATAGTTAAGATGTCATATGAGGCACACGGCGTCCGCCAGACAGGCTCATGCGTGAAAAACACTGACATGATAGAAGGGTAAGTGACGAGTACAAGGCGTAAAGTGTTGTGCCAATACAGGACTTCGAATTATCAGCAGACACGACTGGCCCATAGACAACTAGTGGGTAGTCATGCTGGAAGCGGAATCTCAGATACCTTGACCTAATACGCTTAGCGGTCTGTAAAACAAAACTTCAATAGCACAACCTGTGTCAATCAGGGCCGAGCTACCAACGAATAGAAATCCATCAGCATCGAATTTCCGCCTCATCTCATTCCACACAAGTAGCTTGAGGAGGTTCGAAGCAATTCTCGCGTATATCACTGCTACTCGGTGAAGGTTTACAAAGATCATAAGGGTTTGTGCGCGCCGTCGAAATATAATCTCTATGCTCCTCGAAATGAGGTTGTTCAAGAGACTTCAAGGATTTGCCGAGCCTCCCCGAAACCAGAAATTTACGAGCCAAACGAGCATAATGTGTGATCAAAGAAGAGTGCAACATACCCTCCAGTTTCTCTATCTGACCAGAGTTTCCATGACAAAAGACCGTCTGGTCACCGAAAGTGCGCCGAAGGTCTCTAACTCCCCACCTCAGCAGTTTGCACGAGTAAATAGCCGAGGATGTACGTGTCCTGGAAACATAAGTCGTAGACCAGAAAGAAACAAAACGATCACCCCTTGTGAAATATGGTTTCAAAGATGTTGCGCGATCTATCTCCTCAAGGAATTATCATACCCACTTTGGTATTCACCTACGTGCCTCGGACCCGGATCATAAGGCTAAAGTCCCGAACAACCGTTTCAGCCCTACCCAGTTACGTAGTACTCCTTGATGCACAGGGAGCAGATGTCACATCTGGGATCGCATCTACGTCGGGATATTTGATTGCTGTTGGGTTCGTTGTGATAAGCTTGACGAAGCTTGATGTGGCTTCATCAGTGCATATATCATCTCACCGAGCTGTTTCAGTAACTGTGGTCATCGCCTGCAGGTTCTCTTCCTTTTCAGGCAAATGTGATCATCAAATACGTCAAGGCGTTAAGCAGATCCAGGGAAGCGATGACTCCCTCAGTAAAACAAAATGGTTTGGCCGAAACCGCGGCTACGTGGCTTCCCATGTCCCCGTAGATCGCAGTGGATTTCATTTTTCGGATGTTGATCACAACGCTGGTTGGCGTCAACTCGTTCTTTGCAGCTGCAAGCTTCCCCTTAAGATGAATCTGTCTTCCCACACACATGACCCAAATGTCACTGAGGGCCTAATTATCGACTAAATTTTCGAGGGAGTGATATCCTATTTGTTGTGTCGACATTCCAACGACCTCACCTATAGTGTGATGAAGAACGCTGAGGAGAATGAGTATGAGTGAGAATGAATTACATGGAAATTGGTCTCGTTTAGTCTGATGAGGTTGAACTGGAAATCTCCGGGTTATATCAAGCACGACGCAACGAAGATGGTTAAACTTCGGATAATATATGCATGTTTAATTATGCAGAATTGCCGTTAGAACTGGCTGGTGAAGCTATTGTATGTCACTAGTGTGACGGTGATACTACTGATGGGGGCATGCAAGCAGTATGGTTTCTTCTAGTAAATTCTCTTTGCGTCTCTTGAAAAGTGAGATCTATTGAGGCATTTGTGGAGTCGCTTTGTAGCATTTGCTTGGATTTGAGCAACAGTCAGTGGATATCCAGGAAATTCCAAGAAGGCGTGCTCAAGAGGTGGTGGATGTTCAGTTTGTGTAAATAAGATGCAAATGAGAGTTTTGCTTCCCTGTCCAACAGTCTGTACCTGGTCAGTTGGCATTTTTGATAAGTAACTCCGCAGCGAAGGCCTTCTTCCTTTCACTAGCACTGACACGTACAACGCGGATGCATATACTGATACACTTTTCTGATAACTTACTCAGAGAAGGAATGCAACTTGGCCGAAATTCTGAGTGACTCATATGGTTACTCTGACACGTAGTTGTCCCTGAGTATCCTCGACCTGTTTGGGTTGTCAGTTTTTAATCCCCATAATAGGTGCTGCCTTATTTTACTCAAAGACCGAACGAAGTTACTTGGGTACAAAGTTTACTCTTGGACGGCCGTGTTTGTAAACGTTACAGTAATGCACCCGTAGGGCTATTCAGAACATTTTTTCGATTGCACTCAGCAAAATTTTTCTTGTTTAGCCCGGATTCTGGGCTTAAAACCGAGTCGACCAGCGTCGCATACCTTATCGACTATTTTATATGAGTGTCTAGGAAACCTTCAGTATTGCTTTGTGTCCTTACTCTGTGTGCTGCAAACTGTCCAAGCTGACAGATAATCTTGGGTTGATCAATAACCTAACCGGTGAGCACATGATGCTGAAAAGCCAATCAGAATTAAAGAAACTGGTGTATATAAAATGACACGTATTCTCGGGTGGCCATTGTCTGGACACTACGATAATGCCTGTCGAACTTTCGCCAGATGCCATGGAAGCCCGAAGACGTATAATTCTACCGGTCGACAACAGTGAGCACTCAAAGCGTGCCATGGATTGGTACTTTATCAATATGCAACGCGAAAACGACTTTCTGATTTTCGTGCACGTGATCGAACCGACACGGAATAGCTCACTCATGGGTGTGGCAATTGAATCTGTACCCAGTCTCCTGGGTACCGTAATAAGAGTCTCAGAGGAATCTGTGAAGGATGGAAAACTGATATGTCGTGAGGCCATGCAGAAGGCAAACGCACATGGTTTGAAGGCTCAATCATTTCTTTACGTTGACACCAAACCTGGTGTGGCAATCCTCAAAGCAATCGAAGAACTGAAAGGGGATGGGGTGATAATCGGAAGCCGTGGAGCAGGAGCTATAAGAAGAACAATCCTTGGAAGTGTGAGTAATCACGTACTTCATCACGCGCATGTTCCAGTTATAATTGTTCCTCCCCAGCATCATCATCACCACCACCATCACTGATTCACTTTCTCACTCCCCCTTCATTATTTACGAGCATGTTATTGCTTGTAAGTCATTGTACGACGAAACCGACCAACCGTAATTTTGGTTTGCCATCTGATAAACTGATATTTCCTATCGTTAATTTTTTGATACACACAGTTACAGGGTTGCACATTACTTTCTGCCTCAATACAAAGTTATGTGCTTTGTATATGACTGTCAGGGTAGCCGATCGCTGCATCAGAACGACCCGTGACCTTTTGAAATGACATAGCGCGTGACTGAAGCTTAAAAGAACGTCCATCAGAATCCTCTATGCATATCCACAAATAAGCGACGCTATCGGATTTCGAATATTAGTTAAAAAAAGGAATAAATGATGAGAGTATTATTTAGCAAAAGTAAATAACTTACATGTTCCGAATAAGAACCAGTTTGAAAGTTCTCCTTATCAGCTAGGAAAACGTTGGAAATAGTCTACCTAAAATGGGTATACAAAGCGTTGCAATCAGACCAACGTACCCTGAGAGATTTTCACTGTGAAGAATCAAATCAAACCCGTTTTGAATCAAAGAAAATGGGTCAGGTTCCTCTATATTATAAACACAATACCCAAATTGAGACGACAAATAGAAAATTCCCGGTTTGAGTAGGTATTTTATTTGCACAAAATATTAATAGCAAAGCCATCTGATGGTCAATGGTTTGTCCGCTGACCTGAGCAATTTGGTTGCAAACTTTTCACCACCAATAGAGATGACATTATCAGTGAGTTGTTTGAGAGCGTGGTAGAGCATAGCGATGGGTCGGTGCTTGTGCCACCTAAACAGGTCGATAATATAATTAAAGATGTGGTCACTTCTGCTGTGAAAGCACTCCGAAAGAATCCGTCATTCACATCTGACTCGTATAGGTCAATGCTTGAGTATGCACAGCGCATTACAGTGAGTTTTTCTGTGCGTTCTGTTTTCACAAACTGTTAAGTGCGTTATCTCGTAACCGAGATCAGCAGAAGTTTACACCTGGTTGGCATGAGTTGGTCAGTGGCCATCACAAACAGTGGATGAATAATCGATAATCTGGTTGACAGAGGGCCTAAACCTGTAACGAGACAATAGATTTTTCGGGCTTCTTAACATAACTTCCCTAGCCTTATCGGCCTTGACTATTCGGTTAGTGATCCGACGGTGGTCACTGCAGTTAATGCGATACTTGTTGATACATCTACAAAAGTAGGCTTTTCAGTGTAACTGTTCTAAACCCTACTATGACTACCTGATACATGATAAGGTCAAGCAAACAACAGATATGGGTAAATACATGAAATTGCTTGCGTTCAGGTTTGTGTGTTTTAGAGGAGACGAGTGTAGGCTATTCAAGAACAACGATTCACGGGCTGATTTTTGTACTTTGACCCTGTCAACCGAATTTTCAAATGAGTTTTTGTGACCACTCAACTTGGAAGCATTTGAGGCTGACTAGAAATTCATCCTTTCAATAGGGTTCAGTAAACAGTTTGTAGGTGTATAGCTTGGAGATGTTCCGCTTTTGACACAAGATCTTCGTCAGGCTAGGTGAGGTTACCAGGTTGACCGAGTTTAAGAGCAGACCAAGAACCGGCCGGGAAAATCCTTTCCGCTCAGCACAGTACATCAGTGTTCAGTGTCAGTCGAAAGGTTTTGTTGGTTTGTTTTCTAAATCTTACGGTTGATCATTTGGGAAATTCAAAATAATTTTGATGGCTTTTAGGTGCTTGATATTTCATTTGTAGGATCTTCAACAACTGATTTCTCTTGGATACCACTGGTAAATTTTGTTGGCCGGTGTTTGTTGTAAGTTGGAATGCGTTGGAGGATAAAATGAAGTGAAAATTTTGTTTTGGCTTGTTAACAAACCTTACCAACATGGGGTGGAATATGAGAATCCAAAAGATAGCAGAAAACGGCCAAAAACTTGGCTGAAATCAAGACAGCAATCGTCTAAGGTTGAGAGTAAAGCACAGCAAAAAATAAGTTCCATTAACAGAGTTTATTTTGCGGAAAAGAGTTAAAGAGACTTCTCCTACTGGGAACCACTAGAATGGAAAAACGTTTTCCCTTGAAATTTCGTCCTGTAAGTGGAGCCAATCTATATTGTAAATCCAAGAAACATTGTACAGTTGTATCACTCATACCGAGTATCATCAGCATTGGGCAGTTCATGAAGCTCCTGCAGGGCGTCTCGAAACCTCCTGGCTGGTAGCTGAAGATTAACCCGTTCGGCCACATATGATGAAGGTGAGACACCTTCACTGTGCTTCTCGATTTCCGGTCATAGACAAGACTTCATTTACAGATTGAAGGATCTCAAAATATCCTCGTACTATCAAAGCAGTAAACGTATCTCAGAAGGAAGAATAATCCACAAAATCAGTGAATCTTCCATTCGAAAATTCGTCGTTCGAAAAGCCAGGTCTCAAGTAGTCAAACGATGTGAATTCCCTGTTCAAGTACGAATTAATAACACCACTGTTTAACCGTTCACGGTCAAACAGTTAAGCCTTCACCTACTACTTCAAACCGCCCCCGAGATTTGTGAGATGCATCCTGCTGGTTATCCGCAGTAAGCATGAAACAGTTGCACGGTGTTTTCTGGCATTCCACCGCAGATCAACTTTACTAACGAGGCAAAATCTGCCTTGGGGAATTCCCAAATATCTACAGCAAATAGATTTTTGAAGTTTTATTAATTGGAATATGTTTACTTTCTATGGGATTCTGTTACAACGTATACCACGCCATATTCTGATAGACATATACCTTAAAATCAGGAGAAATTCAACGCATTAGGATGTTTTCAGTACTTTAGCATCTTTGAATTGTTAACTGTTCCTCAAAAACGAGATTTGCTGTTACAATTTTCCTAATTATCCTGAGTGTTTGAGGATTCTAACTTATGTGACGAAAAAAAAGAGTCGCTTAAATAATGTTGCGTCTACACAGCACTCGCGATATCCTGCTCTTGTGTGTGTGAACCGGTGGGGATCTCCGGTAGAGTGCGTTGAGAGCAGGGCGCATCCTTAGAGCTGTTCGAAATCGGGCACCATTTAGGGGAACACCGTTGCAGTTTAACGGCAAACAGTGTGAGAAAAAAGTGTATCAGGGTAGAATTACCAACTGTCAAGAAAGCTAGGTATTGTAGGCTTGGAGTCGCAGAATAACCATCTAGTGTATTTGCAACCGAAGTTTTTCAACCAAGAAGCATGTACTGAGAGTGTGGTTTTTTAACAAGACAATAAGCTAGTTATGCACTAATGCACGTTTAGGAGTATACAAATATCAGTTTCATTGGCCTAATCATTTCTGCCACGACGTTGGTTCAATAGCATAATCGTGTTAGTAGCATTTAAATCGATGTTTTCTGAGTAAACCAGCTTTACATTCTGCCTAAGGAGTCAGTTCTGTTATTCGAATATGGGTTAACATAGATACATTTGGCACTTTCAAACCCGGTAACTAGGACACTGATTTTGGAAGTATCCCACTTAGAAGCCAGTCTATCTCTCGAATCGAAAACGATGAGACTGAGACGTTCCGTTCATTCTAAGTATTCCCCCTTATTATTATCTTGGCTGAGTAGGACAATGTGGTGTGTACAGTTTCAAAAGGAAAAGTCCAGGACCGTGAATAAAAACTGCACGGTACTGTCCAAAATAAACGAACGATTTTTCCTTAAACATCAGCGACATTTAGCTAATCAAATGTATGGAGGAAGACTAAATCTCAACATATCTAAATGTGTTCAGTGGTGACCCACTCTGCAGGGAAAGCAGCCTCAGAAGTAAGAAACGTTAATATAGTAAGCTATCCCAGTGACATGGATGGACTTGGGCCGTGAATCAATGTCGCCGCTGACATCAGTTTGCTTCGATACTCCGAATTATTTTGGGGAAACCCTGATGTGAGGTACCGGAATCTAAGTGACCAAATCCATCAACAACAAATTTCCCAGTATCCGACAAAAATCTGATAGAGAAAATTAGAAAAACCGCTTGAGTGGGCACCTTGCAAGCACGACCTTTGAGCACTCGATGGAACGTTTCTGACCACATAGGGGACGTAATCTGATGAGCATTATACAGGTATTGACTGTAAGCGCAGTCTAGAAAGTTATTAGGACGACGAATTGAGAGCGACAACGTTTCTGAGGTTTTTTATTAGGGAATAGGGTGAATAAAAATTCTGAAATGAACCTCGAAATAGCTATTTTCTAAGGGAAACGTCTTCATGCTTGTTACGTTATTGTTCGTAAATTTGATTAAAGTGCGTGAATAAGTTTGTTTCCATCTATATTTCGTCACTCTTTGTTTATATTATGACGTAGGAGTTATAAACATTGCATCCGGGGGAGGGGTAGTAAATTGGTTTCAGCAAGGCCCGGGTGTGCAGTTCGCGTGTTGAATCCCATTGAAAATTCAGCTACTGATAACTTTTCCCTTGGTCCTAAAGTCGTATCATTGTTGCTCGCCATTCATCTCTTCACGTTATTTCGAGCCATTTGCTTGGTACTCGTCAAAATTTTCACTCCTGCGAAACACTAAGCACGAATTTCCTGAAAATCTATGTTAAGTTGCTGTCCAATTTTTCATCCCGTACACATAACCGAGATTTAAGAACAGAACGATTTATTTTCTCCTCGACGCCGATGAAGTACGCAGTCCGTGTTTGAAAATGAGAAGAAGCGTCCGACGTTGTCTGTAAGTTGATGTTTTCACCTTTAGAGACAGAAAAATTGATCTGCATTCATCTGAAGCGCGGAACGTCCTTCATAATCCATCTGGAATCGGGTTTATTATTTTCGGTCTGTGAATTATTGTTTGTGGTACACTTCTGTGGGAACACCAAACTTATATGGCCGTAGTTCCTAAATGATTTTACGGGAATGGATAATTCACC